TTAGTCGAATGAGTACACAACTAAGGTACTAACGGCTATTAATCAGATGATTGGACTAGACGGATGACTTGAAATTCAGGTGTGGGGGACAGTTATTAAGTCAGATGTTGTGTGTGTTTACACATGTCCCATTAAGTCAGATGATGTGTGTGTTTACATATGTCCCATTAAGTCAGATGATGTTTGTGTTTACACATGTCCCATTAAGTCAGATGATGTGTGTGTTAACACATGTCCCAACAAAAATATAGATTCCTGCCAATATTGCATAAATTGTGTATTCCAAATTATTAGAGAAAATCTACCCAACTCTAGAAACTGGTACCTGTGCATATACTGATGCAAGGCCAGACCGGGATTCAAATCTAGGGCCCTTCAAACTCTAGACAGATGCTCTACCAATTGAGCTACCTGGTCGCCGATGATCGACCCAGTCCAGTTCCATTACATTCCTCCCTCCTTTTTCTTAGTCTTTGCCCCCAAAGTCACAACTATTTATAGTTACATTGTGTACAGCCCTGGGGTTCTGGTATCCTCTTGCCAAGTGTACACCAAATGCTTGAAAGAAGGGTTGGTCACAGTGCAGGCACCACTATTAACAGGAGATAAAAAAAAAATGCGCGGCCATACCTTGGGTCAAACCCCAGAATCCTCCGAACTCTTAGACGAAAACTACCAGTTGAGGTACCTGGTCCCCGACAATTGACCCAGTCAAGTTTCGGTACATCGTTTTATAAATTAAAGCATGTTAACATAAGGGTTGTCAGTCATCTATTTAAATAACAGCTCTTGTGCTTTTTAACCCATTCACCCCTAAAGTCAAATTTTAACGGTACCAAAATAATGAATTCTAGTGGTGTGTAACATAGGGACTTGAGAACTTTTTACAACTATAGAGTAATTTTACACGTTTTAAGATGACACCCCAATGATAATGATATATATACGAGAATGGTGAAATATGCTCTCCATTTCAAAAAATTGACCCGCCTAACTTTCTTACATCAAAAACCACCGTTCCAAAAGAAGAAGAAAAACATACATGTTGTACGGTTGGAAAGATAGATCATTTTTCTTTTAGAAACCTCCAATATGCACACAGAATGTATATTCTCCTTCTCCAGCCATTATCTATAGTTCCATTTTTCAAAGTTTTTTTGCAGTCATAGAAACGCTTTTTCCATGTGGTAATACCCTAGGCCTCTGGTAAGACTTAGATACTAGACCTCTGGTAAGACTTAGATACTAGGCCTCTGTAAGACTTAGAAAATAGGCCTCCGCTAAGACTTAGATACTAGGCCTTTGCTAAGACTTAGATACTAGGCCTCTGGTAAGGCTTAGATACTAGGCCTCTGGTAAGGCTTAGATGCTAGGCCTCTGGTAAGGCTTAGATACTAGGCCTCTGGTAAGACTTAGATACTAGGCCTCTGGTAAGACTTAGATACTAGGCCTCTGCTAAGACTTAGATACTAGGCCTCTGCTAAGACTTAGATACTAGGCCTCTGGTAAGACTTAGATACTAGGCCTCTGCTAGACTTGGATACTAGGCCTCTGGTAAGACTTGGATACTAGGCCTCTGGTAAGACTTAGATACTAGGCCTCTGCTAAGACTTAGATACTAGGCCTCTGCTAAGACTTAGATATTAGGCCACTGGTAAGACTTAGATACTAGGCCTCCGTATGACAGCTGATGACACATGTATAGTAAAAGTCATTGACCTTTTTATGTGGGAGTATAGTATTGTCCTGAGCAAGCAAATATTTCTTTTGTATTCATAATAGAAGCGCTAGATGGGCCTTTTAAGCATAAAGTCTTATATATATATCCTTTTTGCACTTATGAGAAATAGTCAGCATCAGATTTCGCCTCGCCTATGTTTACGTTTGTATCGTGTGTGTTGTTGGGCAGTTTGCATTTATAATTAACTGAACATGATTTACTAGAAATACAGGTAGGCTCAAGGTAGCTAAATTTGTTTCTCAATGTATAATATGTTTTATAAAAAATAATGAAATATTATAAGGAACATTTGAATAAATGTGTTTAGATCGTCAGCATACAAATTTAGATAATGTACACTGACGTTAATGTAAACATGTTGATGACGTATAGAAAGTCTCTATAGGTGTGAATCATCCCTGGTAAGACTTAGATACTAGGCCTCTGGTAAGACTTAGATACTAGGCCTCCGTATGACAGCTGATGACACATGTATAGTAAAAGTCATTGACCTTTTTATGTGGGAGTATAGTATTGTCCTGAGCAAGCAAATATTTCTCTGGTATTCATAATAGAAGCGCTAGATGGGCCTTTTAAGCATAAAGTCTTATATATATATAAATATCCTTTTTGCACTTATGAGAAATAGTCAGCATCAGATTTCGCCTCGCCTATGTTTACGTTTGTATCGTGTGTGTTGGGCAGTTTGCATTTATAATTAACTGAACATGATTTACTAGAAATACAGGTAGGCTTGAGGTAGCTAAATTTGTTTCTCAATGTATAATATGTTGTATAAAAAATAATGAAATATAATATTATAAGGAACATTTGAATAAATGTGTTTAGATCGTCAGCATACAAATTTAGATAATGTACACTGACGTTAATGTAAACATGTTGATGACATATAGAAAGTCTCTATAGGTGTGAATCATCCCTGGTGCATACATGTATGTACAGGAGATACAGGTTTTTATCTATTAACCTGGATGAGAAATTTATATTGAAATATGAATACTTGTATATTATATATGGTAATTATAAACTGGTGGGGACGCAGGATGACAGATGGTGGTTGAGGTGGTTTCTGAACCCAAAGTAACCCTAGGGTTATCTACCAGGTATACCAAGGTAGCCCTAGCTATTTTAATCAAGGTAACCCTAGCTATCTACCTAGGTAATTAACCCAAGGTATCTACAAGGTAACTCTAATCATCTACCCGGGTAGCCCTAGCTATCTTAATCAAGGTAACCCTAAGCTATCTACCCAGGTAATTAACCCTAGGTATCTACCCAGGTAACTCTAATCATCTACCCAGGTAGCCCTAGCTATCTAAACTGAGGTAACCCTAGCTATCTACCCAGGTAATTAACCCTAGGTATCTACAAGGTAACTCTAATCATCTACCCGGGTAGCCCTAGCTATCTAAATCAAGGTAACCCTAAGCTATCTACCCAGGTAATTAACCCTAGGTATCTACCCAGGTAACTCTAATCATCTACCCAGGTAGCCCTAGCTGTCTAAACCGAGGTAACCCTAGCTATCTACCCAGGTAATTAACCCTAGGTAATTAACCCTAGGTATCTACCCAGGTAACTCTTATCATCTACCCAGGTAGCCATAGCTATCTAAACCGAGGTAACCCTAGCTATCTACCCAGGTAATTAACCCTAGGTATCTACCAGGTAACTCTAATCATCTACCCAGGTAGCCCTAGCTATCTAAACCGAGGTATAGCTAGCTATCTTAACGGATGTAACCTTAGCTATATACCCGTGTATCCCTATAGTTAGCTATCTTTTAAAACCAAGGTAACCCTAGCTATATCTACCCAGGTAATTAACCCTAGCTATCTACCGGTATTAGATAACTCTCATTATCTACCCGGGTAACTCTCGCTATCTAAACCTAGTTAACCCTAGCTATCTACCCAGGTATTCCTAGCTTTTAATCTGGGTAACCCTTGCTATCTAACTAAGTAACCTCACATTGTTCTCAGGTAACCCTATAGCTAGCTTGCTACCTTGGTAACCCTAGTCATCCACCTGGGTAATCCTAGCTGTCTAATCTAAATTTTATTGCCCGACAAACTAATGAAATTTTTTTGCAAAATTTAAAGATGAAAATCGTTTTCCCAAATATAAATGTATATGAAATACAAAGTAAAAAGGTTACTGAAAATATAATGATTTGCCTACCAAGTATCAGTGCAACATTAGGTACCCTTACCTATTTTTCAGATTTTTTATTTCAAGAAACAGAGGCATATTTCCATTTTTAAAAACCGGGATATTTTTTTCAATAGTATAGTTATTAAATTTTGACCTTGATGACAACTACAAATCTGTGTTGTTTAGGATTCATCTAAGAATCTAAACAATCAATTTAAAAAGAATTAGAAAATAGGAGAGTTAAAAAACTAGTAGATTTAAGAAAGAAAATCAAATTTGCATGTCTTTTATTGCATACACTGTATTACGAAATGACATGACGCTATATATGTGATCACACCTGTTTTATAGTTGATTGGTCGATGAAAGATGTTGAGATCGTGATTGTACCACACCTCCAGCAAAATCGTAGGAGGTATTGTTAACCTATTCATCCCTGTCGTCACATTAAACCTAACCAAATCAAAGACTGGGCAAGTCCAGTCTAAAGATATAGGGATGAATGAGCTAAGTGTTGTAGATAAGAAGGCTTTTTGTAAAGCTGTGTGATATTTCACTTAGGAAGTAAAAAATTGTCCGTCTACTACTACCTCCTGTATTGTATATATCACTTTTTTTATTAGGCAAGGTATGTTAATGTAGGGTCTGAGCTAGCTATAACGACCCAGAATAGCAGGTACCTGTATTAGCTCCCTGTTCACACCCCTTTCTGACTATATTGTAATAGCGTGTATACATTATATATATATACGCCCTGCCAGCTGTTTCATCATCTATATATATGATGGTACACTATTATTCCACTGAGTCATGGTAATTTCTAAAGTTATATTTAGAAAATAGTCATCTTCTCACATGACCCTATTACGAAGTTACGACCGGTACAGTAATAAGATATTAATATTTAAACCGTCTTCAAACAATTCACTCTTCAGACGTCATTGAATGCAGCTCTGCGATAATTACGGTAGGTGTGAAGGGTGGATATATTTTCTAGACATCTGTCAACCATGCATGTTACACATCTCGACTAGGGTATTTTATGTCTTCGGGGAGTGTATATTACTATCTGATGAGACCTCCCAACCTAATCGGGTGGGGTGCTCATGAATCATTTCCCTGAGACATACATGTGTGTAAGCAGCTACTTAAACAAACACTAACAAACACTTGTTGGTCTATATGAGAAGGCGTATCACAGATACATTCATTTTGTCTGCTGTCGAAGTTGTGGACTTTAATTATAGAATAGTACAGTGGCTGGATAGTTAATTTACCTCAACTACTGTAGGTAAGTTGATGAAGTGGGTGGATAGATAATTTACCTCAACTACTGTAGGTAAGTTGATGAAGTGACTGGATAGTTAATTTACCTCAACTACTGTAGTTAAGTTATGAAGTGGCTGGATAGTTAATTTACCTTAACTTCTGTAGGTAAGTTGATGAAGTGACTGGATAGTTAATTTACCTCAACTACTGTAGGTAAGTTGATGAAGTGACTGGATAGTTAATTTAACTCAACTACTGTAGTTAAGTTATGAAGTGGCTGGATAGTTAATTTATCTTAACTTCTGTAGGTAAGCTGATGAAGTGACTGGATAGTTAATTTACCTCAACTACTGTAGGTAAGTTGATGATACAGAATATTACAGTGACTGGATAGTTAATTTACCTCAACTACTGTAGGTAAGTTGATGAAGTGGGTGGATAGATAATTTACCTCAACTACTGTAGGTAAGTTGATTAAGTGACTGGATAGTTAATTTACCTCAACTACTGGAGGTAAGTTGATGAAGTGGCTGGGTAGTTAATTTACCTCCACTACTGTAGGTAAGTTGATGAAGTGACTGGATAGTTAATTTACCTCCACTACTGTAGGTAAGTTGATGAAGTGACTGGGTAGTTAATTTACCTCAACTACTGTAGGTAAGTTGATGAAGTGACTGGATATAGTTAATTTACCTCAATTACTGTAGGTAAGTTGATGATACAGAATATTACAGTGACTGGATAATTTATTATTCACACTTGAAACTTCATTATGAACTATTCCAACCTTTGAAATGGAAGAGTTCAAATGTGTCTTCGTTCAGGGGTGAAAGAGTTAATTTACCTCAACTACTGATTTGATGATAGACTAGTACAGTGGCATGGATAGTTAATTATTCACCCCTGAAACTTCATAATGAACTATTCCAACCTTTGAAATGGAAGAGTTCAAACTTGTCTTCAGGGGTGAAAGAGTTAATTTACCTTAACTTCTGTAGGTATGTTGATGATCACGTATGTTATGTGTATTGGAGGAAAATAACTAGATTTCAGCATATGAAACAAGCGTACATTGTATATATTTGTGATGATTCTTGATCGGAGCCAGTCGGTGTGCTGCCTGATAATCCTCATTTGTCTGAGCGGGATGAGAGATGTGTGTTTGAAGTCCAGCCAAAACTGAATGCTTCCCAACCTATAAACATGTAACATGTGGCAGCTACAATCAAAGTAGGCCAACTGTGAATAATTCTGTGGTTTATGATTTTTGCAAATATTCCCGGGTATACATACGTGTATGTATATAGGTTCTTGGTACATGTATGTCAAAAACTGCCCAAATGACTTCCTTTTACTTCACAAACAGACAAGAGAGCCTCTGTTCACAGTGGTGACTAATACAGTCCTTTGATCCTAGTGTGATTACCAAGTATTTTTTTCTGATGTAAAGGCTAGCCCTGCTTGCTGGAAACATGATGTCTAATTATTCAGTCACTACGAAAATATACTACTGTTTGTGCGATGGAGAACAAAATGTGTAGTTCCACTGTATGGGGTACCGGTGGGGTGAACATCCTAAGCAACTACACTGTAGATTAATTATTAGCGTAAATTTGGTAGCCTGCATTTTGTACTAGGTATGTATACATACACAGACAAATGTATTTGCCTAATGGTGTTACGTAATCCCTGTGTTTTTATATATCAGTTGTGTTTTGTGTTGGTCAGGTATCTGATGAGTGATTAATTACCCAACACTAAACCATGGGGATTATTTACGGGGCTGCGGCGGCCAAGTGGTTCAGGTGTCTGACAATCTGCTACCACTAGTCCTCCACCACTGGGTCGCGGGTTCGAGACCTAAGACAGGGGCAGTCGCCAGGTGCCGGCCGTAGATCGGTGGGTTTTTTCCCGGGAACTCCGGCTTTCCTTCACCATCAGAACCTGGCACGTCCTTAAATGACCATAGCTGTTAATAGGACGTAAAACACAAACAAACCAAACAATGGCCATCTATAGTATACCCTATAGCACATTTCTTCTATGGGGATGATATTTTCATGATTTCACATTTCAATAGCAGAATGATATCATATGACAGGCCTAAAATATGAACCGGGATAACAAACTTCATAACGGTAATTATAATGTCATCATGAAGTTACTATATATAGCAAGCATGTGGTTGTCAATATCGTGAAAACTTAAGCCCGTGTAAATAACTTGTTAAAAAACCCTTTCACCACTGTAGACCTTATGGACTCATCCATATCAATGCATGGTAGAGTCTACTAAAGTTACATAGGGGTGATAGGGTTAAACAGTATTTATTTTATAAATAACTAACTTTGTGTTCGTCTATACATGTCAAAACTGATCAACAACAGACAGAGAATAGAAAAATAATTCGGTAAATTGTCAGTCAGATGTTGTTTTTTTTCAAAAATGTTTTTTATTTTTATTTATTTTTAGGTCACCTGAGACAAAGTCTCAAGTGACCTATTGCGATCGCCTTTTGTCCGTCGTCGTCCGTCGTGCGTCCGTAAACAATTTACATTTTCGACTTCTTCTCCAAAACCTCTGAACCAATTTCAATGAAATTTTGCAGGGACCTTCCATGGACAAAGGTCAACAAAAATAGTATGCACCTATGAGCCCTGACTGACCCCCAGGTGCTGATGGGTGGGGCCAAAAAGGGTTGAATTGACTGAAATTTCAAAAATCTGCTTCTCAAGACCCAGATACAGTAGAACCAAATACTCTTCATAGATGGAAGGGTCTTAAGGTGTTTTACCAAAATTGCGAATTTCTTGACCCTGGGGTCTCATGTTTCCCCATGGGGAGGGGGTAAACTTTACTATAGTTTATATAGGGAAATCACATTTTGGACCAACATTTGTTTAATTTCCATTGGAAGTAATTCAATTTGGGTTAGCATTATCAGTATTAGGTAGCAGTTTGATAATAAGCACATATCAGCCCTGACTGACCCCCAGGGGCTGATGGGTGGGGCCAAAAAGGGTCGAATTTACTGAAATTTCAAAAATCTTCTTCTCAAGACCCAGATATGGTAGAATCAAATACTCTTCATAGATGGAAGGGTCTTAAGGTTTATGACCCTAGGGTCTCACGTTTACCCCCTGGGGAAGGGGGGGGGGGGGCAAAATTTATTATGGTTTATAATGGCAAATGATACTTTGAATATTACATGTTAATAACTTGATTGGAATTATAACCTTGAATTGACAGTTTGATACTTTGAAAATTTTGAGCCAGCCCTACCCCAAAGGGCTGTAGGGTGGGGCTCAAAGGAGTCAGTGTGCTAAAATTTCTTCATTTTCCTTGTTAAGAATCAGAGGTGCTAGTTTCAAATCCTTTTTAGTCTGAAATCTGTATGCTAGATATTGAATAAGGTGGTTTTATTGCTTTTTGTCACTTTGAATAATATTTCTGTTCACGTTAAAAACAAAATCAACTCTCTGTATAAATATATCAGGTGACTGTTAAGGCCCATAGGCCTCTTGTTTAAATATTCTTTATGTGTCGGGAACACTAAAGCAAATCAGGCTGAATATAATGGGTTCCAAGTAACTATATTGTCATTGTTCTGCAGTTAAAGATAATTACTATGAGTCATAGTAAAAAAATAATGGCTACTTTCACAATCAATGATCTGGTCAGTATAGACAACAGTCACTGGGCTCAAATCATACGAAAATCATTCTTGTTAAAGGACCTAACGAGTTGGACAGAGTCGATTTTGAGATTGATCTACAAGGAAACTGTCTGAAACTTGTATCTGAAGAGCCAACTTGGCCTACTGTTACCGGGAATACCACACAGAGGCAGAAGACGCAGCCGGATACAAACAATAAAAAAAATTTTGTACGTCTTGAAAACAAAGATGTTAGGTAATACATTTGTGGACGAACAAACTATCAAAAACATTCACACTCTCAAAAACGTTTTATGACTCGAGACCGCTGACTTAATTCGGTCCTAGAAACATGAGGTGAAACCCGAGAAATTCAGGACGTTGTACCAGAAGAGTTGTCTTCCCTATTCTGCAAATTCCTTATAAGCGTAAGGAAGTCTGGCGGAACCCTGTCTGAGTTCTATTCGTGGATTTCTCTGTAGCTTTGAAAGGCAACTAAGGCGTGCTATAACTATGGTCATTCACTAGCAAATTTACTGACAATTTTAATAAAGTTTGTGATGTCCTACATGCGAAACAAAAAGCGTAAAAACGCGAAGGAAAGGGGAATTTAGAAAATAAATCAGAAGCCATAACAGATGACAAAATTTAGCAGCTCTGAGAAAAAAGTCAACTTTGTAGCAAAAACCCTGACATTATATGATAAACACTTTTTGTTTTACAACACTGCAGTACAATTTGGATTGAGGGGGGGTCAGGCCAGCATCGGTCCATGTGCACGGGGATGTGTCATTTCATAAAGATTCACTGCATCAGGAATACCTAGAGTTCCAAGAGAGACAAACTGAAACTAGACAAGGTGAAAATCCTTGAAACGAATGACAAGTAAAGGTGAAAATGTGGTCAAATATATATTGACATGCCAGAACATTGCCCAGTGCGTGTTTTACAAGTTGCAGCAAAATGACCAACAGCATATATCAACGACACTCGGAGCATGACCATTTTTACATCTCCACACAAACAAAACAGGCAAGCATGAAGCCTATCGATCAGACGGTTTAAATCTCAGCCTTTTGACGTTAATAAACTTACCTCTATAATGAAGAGGATGACTGAAGCAGTGTAGGGCTCCCAAAAAACACACGCCTTTCCAACCACAGTGCAAGGAAATTAAACATCTTGTGCAGAAATTGAGTGCACGCAGATAACTGGTCATAGAAAAATTCCATCTGTATATAATTACAGTCACATTAACTCTTGTTAGCATTTCGTGGATATTATCCGTTCCGTCAGGAATCATGACTCTCGCCCGCCCTTACACAATGTCAACGGAATCATATGACTTGTAATATAACAACACCGCGCTCCAAGATACAGCCACGAACACGGCTTCATCACTGAATATTATCGGAGGACTTAAGGATGTTTTAATTTTGCTCAGCAGCGCCTCGCAAAATTAAAACATTTTCAACTCGTTTCATGAATCTCATATCAAATGGAAACTCATGTGAGATCCTCCATGTCTGGCATATCAAGTACTGGGGCTGTTACGGTAATTTATATGTTTGCCATAAAGAGGACAAATTGTAATGTCAAGCTGAATTTGGAAGCTGACAAAAAAATGAAATTTTGTATGCCCTCAACCTCTGTACATACATACATTACGTCAGCTTAGCCCTTTCAGATTTTATGTTTAGATCAGTTTTAAGTACTTCCCTTCGGATCAAACAACTGCACATGCTAATGCTCCAGTATGAGTACCCCATGTTACACAAGTGGCCCTGGGGGAGTCAGTGTCGGTGTGGTACATTTGTACATTTATACACATTTCCAGTTTTATTTATCTAGCTATGTACATGTGATTTTTTTTTTCAATATCCCCTCCATAGATTAGCCTCTGGTATAACTCCTTTTCATATCCCCTCCATAGATTAGCCTCTGGTATAACTCCTTTTCATATCACCCCCATAGATTAGCCTCTGGTATAACTCTTTTTCATATCCCCCCATAGATTAGCCTCTGGTATAACTCCTTTTCAAATCCCTCCATAGATTAGCCTCTGGTATAACTCCTTTTCATATCCCCTCCATAGATTAGCCTCTGGTACGTATAACTACTTTTCATATCCCCCATTAGACTAGCCTCTGGTTTAACTCCTTTTCATATCAGCCTCTGGTATAACTCCTTTTTATATCCCTTTCATAGATTAGGCTCTGGTATAACTCCTTTTTATATCCCTTTCATAGATTAGGCTCTGGTATAACTCCTTTTCATATCCCCCATAGATTAGGCTCTGGTATAACTCCTTTTTATATCCCTTTCATAGATTAGGCTCTGGTATAACTCCTTTTTATATCCCTTTCATAGATTAGGCTCTGGTAAAACTCCTTTTCATATCCTTTTCAGGGGTCAGAAAGAAGGTATGAGTGGGCCATACATGTATACACCTGAAATTTTGATATATTTATATACAGGAAATGACCTGTTGAACTATATAATAATTGTTACATCCGCTTTTATAATCACGGTCTTATTCAGAAAATCTTATTCATACAATTTAATATTACTCTATATGTACAGTACATATAACAAACTTACTGGAAAATGATCCTGTGCAATTAATATTGGAATTTGGGATAACAAGAAATGACTTATTGATGACGTCATCAGACTTGTGGCTGATTTACATCATAAATCTGTCATTGACCTAATTAACTAGTGTTAGTAATATTCATGACGCTGGTTGGCCAGGGTTAGTGACAGTTCAGAGTAGGCGTAACGGATCTGTACTGACCACAGTGGTAATTAATCATCACATCAACGTTGATCAATACTTGTCCAGTACCAGGTGATGTCCTGTTTCTACATAAATCTGTCGTTTATAATCAGAACTGACCTCGGGGACTCTGATCACCTCATGTACAGCGCGAGGTGACCACATTTATCCACTCTTAATTAACGATACATATATATGTAGTAGAATTGGACTGGGTCGATAGTTGGCAACCAGGTAGCTCAATTTCTATATATATATATATATAGAGTGTCCGTCTAGAGTTAGGAGGGTCCTGGGTTCAAACCTAGATCTAGTGGTGCATTTTTCCTGTCCTCTTACGGTTGTGCCTGTACATGTGACCAATTCTTGTTTCGACATCTGGTATATGCTTGGCAAGGGGATACCCGAACTTGGGTTGTAAATAGTTGTGTCTTCCAGGGCGAAGACTTAGTAAAAGGAGGGAAGAATGTAGCGGAACTGGACAGGGTCGATTGTTGGCGACCAGTTAGCTCAATTGGTATATAGTCTATTATAGAGTGTCTGTCTAGAGTTAGGAGGGTCCTGGGTTCAAACCCAGATCAAGCTGTGCATAGTTCTTCTCCTCTTACGTAAATCGTCCATCTATAGTCCTGGAGGTCCCGGGTTCGAGTCTGGCCGTGCAGTTTTTCCTCTCCAGTTATATTACTATATATGACTTTCCTTGTGTGTATCAGCTAGATGTCATCTCCAAAAGATTTCCTCGAGCTCATATAAATCAAAAGTATGTCTGGAGAATATCACAATACATTGCCAGGGGTTTTTTGCCCAGTTTTACAGCTAAATACAGGCTGCTTCCCCTGGCTAAATGGTGCTTTATGTTCTCAAAACAAAGACAAATTCAGGAACAGCAACCCAATTTCAATAAATAGGTTTATTTTCCTTATTCATGTAGGAACAGACTATTGTAAAGTTTAAATTGCTGATTGCAATATGCACGAGAAAGTGTTGTCAGAATATCATCAAACTGAATCATATTTCAAATGAATCGCACAGATTTAAGATTTAGGTTAAACAAATTGTCAATTTTAAAATTTAAACTGATTCCCGTCACTAGTATAGCCTGCGTATAGTTATTGGCATATATCTGTGTTGTTTTATATAATCTGTTTTTGATGACACAGTATTCCCACCATGGCTGCAGGCGACAGATCACAGTTTGTTCAGTTCCAATTCAATTGATCATTCAATTTTCAAAAGAAAAATTAGAAGAAATAAATCTGATAAGGAGACATCCTGATCCGAACCTTTGAACAGAGCTGTCCCGTACTAGTGGAGATCCTGCAGGCAGATTTTTAACAATTTCTCCTTGGCTGACTGATACTTTTATAGTAAATAGGGGAAATTGTCATTTAGAAATTGTGACATAAAATTCAGTCGTTCTGGGCCTGGGGCATAGACCCAGCTACATTGTAGCACTATTGATGCTTAACTCATTCACCCCTGAAATTTTATAATGGAATATTCCAACCTTTGAATTGGAAGAGTTCAAATGTGTCTTCAGGGGTGAATGAGTTAAGGTCAGGGTGGGGTTTTGTAGGAATTTAGGTTAGGAAAGTCAAAGTACCGGTGTAGGTGTTTGAGTAACTTACCTGTATAAACTACTGTAGGTATATAGTGTACCTACAATGATTTCAGGGAATTGAATTATAAAGCTGACAGCACTAGAGAGAGTGAAAGTTAAAAACCAGTCAACCAGTTTGACAGGTAATGTGCTTTTTATACCCAGGGAGACCCCTACTCGTTATCAAGCAAATGCAGGTACATTCTAAAATGTCTGCGCTTCCTTAGATAGGACTGCTGGCAGAAATAGTCACCGAGGCACATCTAAAAATAAAATAAAATAAATAAACTTTTTTTTTTTTAATCTCAATTGAGAGCTTTTTAACTTGCATTGTCAGCTTCAGCAATGCAAGGTACATCTAGACTAAAATTTATATCTGTTAACATTTTCTAATATAGTAATGATGGGAATTTAACTCATCCACCCCTGAAGTTTCATAATGAACTTTTTCAACCTTTGAATTGGAAGAGTTCAAATGCGTCTTTAGGGGTGAATAAGTTAAGGTCACATAGTGTAATGATGTCATACTTAACCCTTTCACCCCTATGTAACTTTAGTAAACTCTACTCTCGGTGAGTCCATTATGGCCTCCAGTGGTGAAAGGGTTAAATATTACAAACATGTATGTTATTTAATTGTTTGGCATTTCTTTGTATTTTTCAGAACCTAAAAATTCAAGATGGAGTTGAACTGTGGATTGAAATGTCTGAAGTATCTTCTATTTGCATTTAACTTGATCATATGTGTAAGTATACAAAATAGATATATACCTTAGCAGAAATATCTTGTCATCTTCAAATTAATTATGTCAAGGTCTTTAAACATGTATATGTGTATATCTAGACTACCACTGCATCAAATTCGAAACAAGCCATTCAGATTGATATGTCTTGTCTGTGCCCCATTTTGACCATCAATGCACATATCGGTGAAATAAATTCAATTTAGACAAATACCACCTAAGATGCATCCATGGTCCAAGTTTGTTTGGTGTAGCACTTGTACTTTCAGTGAAGCTAACTTAAACACAAAAAACGTAATGTTAACACCGCCGTCCCGGGAAAAGCAACGCCATACTCTGGCTTCCGCTAACTTCGTCGCGGCGAGACAAAAACTGTTATCTTCAGAATACATTTTTATGTAAATATATTTGACAACAAATTAGAAATGTAACATCATCCTTCATATTATGCCTTTCACCCCAGTAACATACTCAGAAATCATGGCATCTTTTAACTCATTCACCCCTGCAATTTCATAATGAACTATTCCGAGTGTAAAATGTTCTGCAGAGCAGACTGGAATTAATATTATAACCCTGGATGTCAAATTGTTATACCATAGCTAAAACCGATTCCGCTACCTGGACAAGGAAAGTGAAAAAGAAAGTTAAGGGGATGTTACTGTATAGGAAAAGCAGCAGTGTCGTAAGACAGGTATCCTTAAAATATATTCAACAGAGATTTTATTGACATTTCGTATACAGCGCAGATCGTCATCCTTATAATTTTCCGAACAATAGTTTTTACATTTTTACACTAGTATACGACATTCATATTTAATATCTAATTAATATTTAAAAACTCAAAAAAACAGTTTGTTCTGTTTCTACATAATTATATAATTTTTTCCCCGTATGTTGTAGATTGTCGGCTTAGCAGCTGTCATCTTAGGGATTGTGTCGATGGTCCAAGACGACACTCTATTTAATCTGCTGAAGTTGACCTTCGACCAGTCCACTCTCGTCCAATCTTCATCTCTCATCATCATCGTTACTGGTGTAATCCTTTTCCTTCTTGGATTCGTTGGATGCTGCGGTGCCTATAAAGAGAGTGTGTGCATGCTCATAATCGTAAGTAAAACAGGTTTTTCGAGCCTTACATAAGAAATGATGCTTGTTTAACCCTTTCACCCCTATGTAATTTTAGTAGACTCTACCATGCATTGATATGGATGAGTCCATTATGGTCTACAGTGGTGAAAGGGTTAGAGTTCCCCTTTTAGCTACAGAAATGTTTTCTCCCTTCTACAGTATACATGTACTAGGCAGTTTTCGCTGCAGTTTAATTTTGCTTGTTTTCGCCCTCTGTGATGAAGGCAAATTCACAGTTAAAGCGAATATAAGTAAACAACATAATATACAAAGTAGTGAAATATGAAGGGCAAAATTAAAAATTGGTCAAAAATGGATTTCATGGGTGAAGGGCGAAAGTTTGACCGGAAGAAAGTTTGACTTGACCGGACGAAAGTTTCACCGGACGAAAATTTTCAGTTATACAGTATTACTCTATCAGGGTTATTTGATGATTCCCTACTTTTGAATCTTGACCTAAGGTTCTGGTTTCTCCAGCAATCTATTAACTCATTCACCCCTGGAGACACATTTGAACTCTTCCAACTCAAAGGTTGGAATAGTTCATTATGAAGTTTCAGGGGGGAATGAGAAAGACATCCCTCCAGATCAATTCCTCCTGGATGGATGTCTTTCTGTGAAGTGGTTACTTTAAAAGGATACTGTTATGTGGGTTTTGTCTGGGGAAAAAAGTGCATAATTCTGGTGATGGATGTGCAATAACAATCAACATGTGTAGTCAACCTTTTATTGCTGTCTCTGACTTGCGATAAGACAGAGTGGAAACTGTTATTCAGGAACAAAACATGTAACAATTACAATAAAAGTGAAAGTGACAAATTTCTGTACAATATTTTACACTTTTACACAAGAGTTACCGCAAATCTAGATGAATCGTTTGCAAGTAACTATTGTCTTTTCAATTGAAATCATTTATAAATACCGTATAATGTTTTCCACGTTCGGAAAATATAGGTAACATGATTCGTTATGTCGCTGGTTCATTTTCTGCTGGAAAGCTTTCATGCGTTTCTAATTTGCAGGGGAAAAAAAGAGTCAAAATTTCCGGAGAGTCCGGGAATTGTAAAAGTTAAATCAAGCAAGAAAAGTCTTGAAGCTAACTCAACATAATGTAGTTTTATTAAGAAGTGTTCTACCAGCCAGCCACGCGTAAATAAATATCTTTTTGTTATTATTTAATATTATTTTGTCAAATTCAAGAAAATTCACTTATTTATGTACCAACGATATGTTGTTTTTGCAGTATGCTTCTATTGTCCTCATCATCATCATCATTGAGATCGCCGGGATTGCTGTGGCTGCTGCATTCCAATCTCAGGTAATTCATATCCCAATCACAGGTAGCATTCCAAACTCAGGTAATGTCTTAATCACAGGTAACATCCCAATCACAGACAATGACTTAATTGCAGGTAATGTCTTAATCACAGGTAACATCCCAATCACAGACAATGTCTTAATAGCAGGTAATGTCTTAATCACAGGTAATGTCTTAATCACAGTTAAATGTCTTAATCACAGGTAATGTCTCAATCAAAAGTAACATCCAAATACAGGTAACATCTCAATCACAGGTTACATCTTTATCACATTTTGATCATAGGTAACATCCCAATCACAGGTAATGTCTTAATCGCAGGTAATGTCCTAATCACAAGTAATGTCCTAATCACAGGTAATATCTTAATCACAGGTAATGTCCCAATCAAAAGTAACATCCAAACACAGATGACATCTTAATCACTGGTAACATCTCAATCACAGGTAATATCTTAATCACAGATAACATCCCTATCACATGAAATGCTAGACCATTTTTCCATTGTCGTGGAATACAAAGCTGTGAGATCTAGAGCACACATACATATTTGGAAAATCTGTCATTCTCATAAAAAATATGTTATTTAATTGGTAAAAAAATAACGTGATCTATTTTTATTCTATATATATAAACTAAACACACTAACAAATATATAATTACATTTTTTTTGTAATTTGTGAAATGCCTATATTTCTTGGCAGAGGAATTCAAACTTCTCAGAACTATTTTTGATTCACTACACATGGCAAAACTGAAGGTCAAAAAAACTGTTTCAAGGTTTATTAGTAGATGGTGTTTGTTTGTAAAATGAACAAAACACACGGACAGCTGGATGATTACACTTTAACAAGATCAATATCTCCTAGAGAAGCCCATCCTTGATATCCAGGGGTTACACTCACTTTCGCTCTCTACACCCCCTGGAATATGTCAAAGCAAAATTGAAGGCACGAAGATAGCTGTTTGATTGGTCTCCGGTAAAACAAACTAACCAATCGCTAGGCTGATACCTGTAGTTTGAAGATTACAATGGAGAGACGTCCGAATTCAAAGCCTGACAATTTTTACCGTTACGCGACCGCGAGATTCTTTTGATTTACATCAAAGGATGGAACTAGTCTTCTTGTCTCATCAACAAGGTGGCGCACACCGAGCTTTCACTTTTGCTATGCCATATTTCAGGGGTGCAGAGAGCGAAAGTGAGCGTAACCCCTGGATATCGAGGATGAGAGAAGCCTAGCTAATGTCACTGGAATGATCCACTTGAAAACAGGTCATTGCTGAGCTGGAGAGTTTGTGCTGTTTGAATTTAGATTTTCTGTTCTTACAGGTGACCAATGAGCTGAAGAGCGGCCTGAAGAAACACATTGCTGAAGATTATGATGGTTCTGGTTCAAAGGACACCTTCACCTACTTTATTGATGCCACCCAAGTACAGGTAGGTCATCAGAAACCGTAACGGTATACATTGCTGCTCTGTAGGTACATTGTATATTTATACCTGTCAAAGGTGATCACGGAACCAGAAATCTGTAAACATTGCACCAGATATGTAAACACAGAACTAGAGATATGTAAACATGGAATTGGAGATGTGTAAACATGGAATTAGAGATGTGTAAACATGGAATTAGAGATATGTAAACATAGAATTAGAGATGTGTAAACACAGAAATAGAGATATGTAAACATGGAATTAGAGATGTGTAAACATGGAATTAGAGATGTGTGAACATGGAAGTAGAGATATGTAAACATAGAATTAGAGATGTGTAAACACAGAACTAGAGATATGTAAACATGGAATTGGTGATGTGTAAACATGGAATTAGAGATATGTAACCATGGAATTAGATGTGTAAACACAGAAATAGAGATATGTAAACATGGAACTAGAGATATGTAAACATGGAATTAGAGATCTGTGTAAACATGGAATTAGAGATATGTGTAAACATGGAATTATAGATATGTAAACATGGAACTAGAGATATGTAAACATGGAACTAGAGATATGTAAACATAGAACTAGAGATATGTAAACATGGAATTAGAGATATGTAAACGAGATGTGTAAACACAGAAATAGAGATATGTAAACATGGAATTAGAGATCTGTGTAAACATGGAATTAGAGATATGTAAACACAGAACTAGAGATATGTAAACATGGAATTAGAGATATGTGTAAACATGGAATTAGAGATATGTAAACATGGAACTAGAGATATGTAAACACAGAACTAGAGATATGTAAACATGGAATTAGAGATGTGTAAACATGGAATTAGAGATGTGTAAACATGGAATTAGAGATGTGTAAACATGGAATTAGAGATGTGTAAACATGGAATTAGAGATGTGTAAACATGGAATTAGAGATGTGTAAACATGGAATTAGAGATGTGTAAACATGGAATTAGAGATGTGTAAACATGGAATTAGAGATGTGTAAACATGGAATTAGAGATGTGTAAACATGGAATTAGAGATGTGTAAACATGGAATTAGAGATGTGTAAACATGGAATTAGAGATATGTAAACACAGAATTAGAGATATGTAAACACAGAACTAGAGATATGTAAACATGGAATTAGAGATATGTAAACATGGAATTAGAGATGTGTAAACATGGAATTAGAGATGTGTAAACATGGAATTAGAGATGTGTAAACATGGAATTAGAGATGTGTAAACATGGAATTAGAGATGTGTAAACATGGAATTAGAGATGTGTAAACATGGAATTAGAGATGTGTAAACATGGAATTAGAGATGTGTAAACACAGAATTAGAGATATGTAAACACAGAACTAGAGATATGTAAACACAGAACTAGAGATATGGAAACATGGAATTAGAGATGTGTAAACATGGAATTTGAGATATGTAAACATGGAATTAGATATATGTAAACACAGAACTACAGATATGTAAACATGGAATTAGAGATATGTAAACATGGAACTAGAGATATGTAAACAAAGAACTAGAGATATGTAAACACAGAACTAGAGATATGTAAACACAGAATCAGAGATGTGTAAACATGGAATTAGAAATGTGTAAACATGGAATTAGAGATGTATAAACACAGAACTAGAGATGTGTAAACATGGAATTAGAGATGTGTAACATGGAATTACAGATGTGTAAACACAGAATTAGAGATATGTAAACTCAGAACTAGAGATATGTAAACATGGAATTAGAGATGTTTAAACATGGAATTAGAGATGTGTAAACATGGAACTAGAGATATGTAAACACAGAACTAGAGATATGGAAACATGGAATTAGAGATGTGTAAACATGGAATTAGAGATGTGTAACATGGAATTACAGATGTGTAAACACAGAATTAGAGATATGTAAACACAGAACTAGAGATATGTAAACACAGAATTAGAGATGTGTAAACATGGAATTAGAAATGTGTAAACATGGAATTAGAGATGTGTAAACACAGAACTAGAGATGTGTAAACATGGAATTAGAGATGTGTAAACATGGAATTAGAGATGTGTAAACACAGAATCAGAGATATGTAAATACAGAACTAGAGATATGTAAACATGGAATTAGAGATATGTAAACACAGAACTACATATATGTAAACATGGAATTTGAGATGTGTAAACATGGCATTAGAGATATGTAAACATATCTCTAATTCCATGTTCACACATCTCTAATTCCATGTTCACATATCTCTAGTTCTGTATTTCCATATCTCTGATTCTGTGTTTACATATCTCTGATTCTGTGTTTCCATATCTCTAATTCCATGCTTACACATCTCTAATTCAATGTTTACATATCTCTAATTCAATGTTTACATATCTCTAATTCCATGGAATTAGAGATATGTAAACACAGAACTAGATATATGTAAACATGGAATTAGAGATATGTAACCATGGAATTAGAGATATGTAAACATGGAATTAGAGATATGTAAACATGGAATTTGAGATGTGTAAACATGGAATTAGAGATATGTAAACATGGAATTAGATATATGTAAACATGGAATTAGAGATATGTAAACACAGAATTAGAGATGTGTAAACATGGAATTAGAGATGTGTAAACATGGAATTACAGATGTGTAAACACAGAATTAGAGATATGTAAACACAGAACTAGATATGTAAACACAGAACTAGAGATATGTAACCATGGAATTAGAGATATGTAAACATGGAATTAGATATATGTAAACACAGAACTACAGATATGTAAACATGGAATTAGAGATGTGTAAACACAGAACTAGATATATGTAAACACAGAACTAGAGATATCATGGAATTAGAGATGTGTAAACATGGAATTAGAGATATGTAAACACAGAATTAGAGATGTGTAAACATGGAATTAGAGATATGTAAACATGGAATTTGAGATGTGTAAACATGGAATTAGAGATATGTAAACATGGAATTAGAGATGTGTAAACACAGAACTAGATATATGTAAACACAGAACTAGATATATGTAAATATGGAATTAGAGATGTGTAAACACAGAACTAGATATATGTAAACACAGAACTAGAGATATGTAAACACAGAACTAGATATATGTAAACACAGAACTAGATATATGTAAACACAGAACAGAACTAGATATATGTAAACACAGAACTAGAGATATGTAAACACAGAACTAGAGATATCTAAACTTAGAATCAGAGATTATGTAAATCTAAACACAGAACTAGAGATATACAGTAGCGAGATATATGTGAACAGGGAACCAGAGATGTTTAAATTGAAAACAGATATTTTATATATATGTTCTTTGATAAAGTAAAAATGTGTGCTTCACATTTGATGTTTACTGTAAAGCTTCTGCAAATTGTTCATATGATGATTATTGACTTGCAGTAATCATATAAAGGGAAACAAATGTCAGCGCAATTTATTACAGAGCATATGCTTTTTTCAAAAAAGGTGGTTATTATGACTGGTTTTTGATATGTTGTTTATGATTCACAGAGTAGACAGTTATATCAAAGTTTTGATATGTTTTATTTAACAGTTTGACTGCTGTGGAGTAGACAGCTACATGGAGTTTGCTAACGCGACCAAGTGGAGCAGGATGAATAACACTATTCCTCTGTCTTGTTGTGTCCTGAAAAACAAGGATGATTATGCAGATAATCCTTCTAATGCAGTGGCCGTGGAAAGCACATGTCAGGAAAACCCAACTGCCACGAACTCCCACATTGGAAAGGTAAAATACTTTCAAATTTGTAATCCAATTCCAGAGTTGAACATTCCTATTGCTGCTCAGCTTTGCAGTTTACCTCACTATTTCATAAAATTGTTTTTGGTCCAGTACTGTAATGTTACGCACTTCTCTGAAGTTTTGTGTTGAGATAAAAATATCATCACAGGGGTCAAGGGTCAAAAGTAGTCTTTTATGGGTAATGGAATTTAAGGAACCTCTTCACGAACTCATTATGTCATGTGTGTTCTCTATATCAACCGTAATAAGTAATTATCATTTTAGACGTATAGCTATGATCTTGTTAGCATAGAGATACAGACTTGACCAACCTGTTGCAACTTTCATATCAGAAAAAATGTTCACTGGTGAAACTTATCTGGTCTCTAAGAATAATGCGCTACAGTCTAATGTTATCAAAATATTTGCTTCTAACGGTTGTCTCATATTAATCGAAACGGGAGGAGAACCTTCAAAATGACGCTGATCCAATTGCATTCATAGCCCTATGAATGCAATTTCAAATGGTTATGCTTAAAGGGGAACTTGCAGTGGAAATGTTAAGACACTAGATTGATGGTAAATATACACATAAATAGTTAAAAGAAATAACCCCTGAGATATTTTTTTTTTCAGTCTTGCTACATGTCCATCAAGGATTTTGCCATGAACAATGCAAGAAACATCATCATCATTGGTGTGGTTATCCTGATCGTCGAGGTGAGAGTAAAACTGAATATATTTTCAACCTGCTTTTGTGATGATCATAAACATTTTACAGAAAGAGAGCATAGAAAAATTGAAATTGTATCTGCCTATTTTGGTGATGAACATGGAAAATGTTTGGTTGGAAACCTTCTCGATTTATCAGACTGCTGCAAAATTGTACAAATGGAGGGACAAATATAACGCTACTAGCATTAGCTCTTGGTTTAGGCCCTACCCCTGCAGTAGGTTTTAGAACCTAATATTTTGTGTCCTGGTACTCATGGTTTTTTTCTGTGGGACTCACTCAGGATTTAAAGAACCCACTATATCTCTTAGTAAGGGGACTCGTTAAAATTTTGAAAATGTTGATCAGGGCTTGTCTGAAAAATTCCTACAAAAACCACTGCCCCTGGAGATTCATTTGCAATTTACCATTCTTTGTTTTATATTCTTTCCAAATTACACTGTAGTAGCAAAACAGAGAAAGGGTTTGAATTAAAATGTTTTATATTTCATTTTAAGGTGATCTGCTTCGTCATTGCGGTATGTCTGTGTAACAGACTGAGGAAGGATGGCGGCAGTGACTAGAGACAGCACCAGTTGTCTCCCTTTGGTTATAAACCTTTTGGCTTTTAAAAGAGACAGAATTTACCAAAACATGTTTGCAGGAAGTCGTCAAATATTTCTTAAATGATTTTGTGTGTGTCATCACGACTTAATAAGGAACAAAAGTGAAAAATACCAAAACTTGTAAAGACTCTTTAACTATACAGTTTTTGCAACTTTTAGTAGATTAAAAGAAATTATACATTGTTTTCTTATAAATAACAGGGCTTTCAGAGAAAGTCAGTCGTCCCAAAAACAATACACGTGAACTTAATCGTGATGAAGGTGTCTTATTAAAGATTTTTTCAAGATAATACTCAAATGTGAAATTTAATGATCAACAGGCCCAGTCAAAATCTCATTGTTACATCTATGTACTTAAAGATGGGAAAAGATGATGGAAATTGAAATGAGATTTTGTTGTTGTTTTTTTTTGTTTTTTTTTGTTTAGAGTTGTTGTACATTATATTGTGTACAAAATGTTGTCTGTTTTAGGTGTTCTATGTATATTTCTAGATCCTTGTACATTTTTTTTGTCATTTCATTTACATGTACATTTGTATTTTGTTATATTTTTTTTTACGGCCCATATTACATAATGCTTCTGTGTTTAGAACTATCATGCTTATGAAAAGTTATCTACATATTACCCTTATGCCATAATACATTACATTGCAGAAGATAGTTCTGTTGAAAAGTTGAACATGAAACAAATACGCCCGAGCCTTATCTTCAACAGTAAGGTTACCGTAGCAACACTGTTTTTCCTGTCATGCCAAAGTATCAAACATTTTATTTTTTTCAGATTTTTAATCAATAATTCTTATGACCATGAATGGTTATTGTGACGAAAAAAAATCCTCCATTTTGGAATGCTCAAAAGGTATATGTAAACTGTTTTCAAAGTACCATTAGAATGTTAAAATATTAAGAAATTTCTTCAAGAGAGAGCACAATCACCACACAATCATTGTCAGACTTTCATTATCAAGGGGCTTTTGCAGGTACATACTGTAAATTTGTACTGGTAAAAAAGTAAAGAAATACAAATTCTCATATTTTGATGTGTATAATATAAATCCTGTTTGGCACTGACAGAAATTCCCCTTTTCTGTAAGAACTTTACCCTTTAACTCATTCACCCCTGAAATTTCATTATGAACTATTCAAACCTTTGATTTGGAAGAGTTCAAATATTTCTTCAGGGTTGAATGAGTTAAAGTACCAGAGGTTGATGATGTACCCAAATTAAAACAAAATATGTTTAAATAGATAAACATATATTCTAGAAAATGTGTTGTTACTATGGTAACGAGGCCATGAAGGAGTACTTTGTTTCTGTTCTGTAGTTAGTGCAATACTTGGTCAAATAGTTTATCATCGTTGTATACAGGTATAAAGCCACATCTTCATTAATTATGTTTTTGAAGGTCTTGCTATCATGTATTTTAAGTTGTTTGAAGCATAATTTTTTTTCCAATTTCTTTTGAATATATTTTGAATTATAACAATTTGTTCCACCAAATGGATGATAATTTAATTTTGTCTAGTTTTCTTCATGGGAGTTGATTGATCGTTTAGATAATGCGATTAAAGAAGTCATTAAAAAATGTGTTCTAAAACAAATCCTCAGACTAAATTGTCGGAATGTTTAAAAAAATATTTTAATAGTTTCTCTTGGAGGATTTCTGTAGTAAAGGTTGCTGGGACATTCTTGGTTAGTTTTCTATTGTAGTGATTGGAAGAATAGGCTGTTAAGGATTTTCAAAGTTAAAACTATATATTTGTTTTTAACGAAAAATGGTTGAAGTTTAATAAAATGTATTTTGTTGAATTCTTGATATCAAAACGTTAAAATATATTCTGGTTTATCTTAAAATGGTGCATGTGTCCTGTTCTTTTTTGCCATACATGTATATGATGCATCAAATCAGATAAAATCAAATCAGAATAGTACAATTTGTTGTAAGGGAGGTAACTCCAGTTTGTTGTAAGGGAGGTTACTCCAGTTTATACTAGTGTTTATCGTTGCCATACTGCAAAATTATTTTTTTCACAAAAATACAGTTTCAAAAAATATCTAGATATGACAAAAATCCTTTGTGCCTTTATATATTTTGATAACTGGGAAATTAAATAATGACTAAGGTCAAAATGTTTGTCAAATTTTATCGCTGAAAATGTTTTATTTTTTTATTATCCATAGGTAAAGGATGTTAGTACATGCATAACTTTTATTTATTTCAACTTTTAAAAAGTATACAGATAATATTGATCTCTTATTCTAGTATAATATGTGTAAAATGTATAACAAAATAAAGAATTCAAATATTATAGCAATGTGTGCGTGTGCATAATTGTTCTACGCATCAATAACGACATACTATTTGTTGTTATCAATAACGACAGAATATTTGTTGGTATCAATAACGACAGAATATTTGTTGGTATCAATAACGACAGAATATTTGTTATTATCAATAACCACAGAATATTTGTTTTGGTCAATAACGACAGAATATTTTTTGATATCAATAACGACAGAATATTTGTTGGTATCAATAACGACA